ATTATATGTTGTTGGGTGAATAATTGGCATTGAGTTGATACTGCATACATTATATGTTATGTTGGATGGGTGAATAATTGGCATTGAGTAGATACTGCATTCATTATATTATATGTTGGTGGGTGAATAATTGGCATTGTGTTGATACTGCATTCATTATATTATACGTTGGTGGGTGAATAATTGGCATTGAGTAGATACTGCATTCATTATATTATATGTTGGATAGTGAATAATTGGCTTTGAGTTGATACAGCGTTCATTATATTTCATGTTGTTGGGTGAATAACTTGCATCGAATAGATACTGCATTCATTGTATTTCATGTTAGAGAGTGATAAATTGGCATTGAGTTGATACTGCATAAATTATATGTTATGTTAGTGGGTGAATAATTGGCATTGAGTTGATACTGCATTCATTATATTATATGTTGTTGGGTGAATAATTGGCATTGAGTTGATACTGCATACATTATATGTTATGTTGGTGGGTGAATAATTGGCATTGAGTAGATACTGCATTCATTATATTATATGTTGGTGGGTGAATAATTGGCATTGAGTTGATACTGCATACATTATATGTTATGTTGGTGGGTGAATAATTGGCATTGAGTAGATACTGCATTCATTATATTTATGTTGGTTGCTGAATAATTGGCATTGAGTAGATACTGCATTCATTATATTTATGTTGATGGGTGAGTAATTGGTATTGAGTAGATACTGTATTCATTATATTTTATGTTGGTTGGTGAATAATTGGCATTGAGTATATACTGCATTCTTTGTATTTTATGTTAGGGAGTGATAAATTGGCATTGAGTTGATACTGCATTCATTATATTATATGTTGTTGGTTGAATAATTGGCATTGAGTAGATAATGCATACATTATATTCTGTTATTGTTTGACTAATTGCCATTGATCATATCCACATTTATTATAATCTAATAATATAATAATAATATATCTAATCTGCTAAATGATATCAATTTTACTCCTATTCATAACGATAACGAAAGAAGTACGACGCATAAGTCGACACATCGCCTCATGCATCTTGCTCGTCATCACATTATGCGAACGAATACAGTATAATCGTATATGACGGCAAAATATGTAACTGCTACTAGGAATAATGTTTACCTGATAGCTATCGGGGATCCACCATACATAACCGTAAGCTATTGCGTCGACATGTATAAGTGCAAGAATCGTCACGAAAAACACGATGACTGCTCTACACACTGTGTTCGCCATGGCTATCTGCAATTCAGAGATTATGTGAACACAGATTATAATATAAACTCACATTTCAAAATATCAGTATGTATTTTTATCTCAGTATTTACAAATAACTGGTACGACGATACAATTGTGGATTTACTGGTTAACCAAAGTGATATTACTATATTTACCAGAATCACTTTTTCTACTGTGATTAAATTGAAATCATCAGTATCGTCCAAAAGTGATTATATATGCAACTGTCAAAAAGCGTTCATTTTTATTACTGTTATATTCCATTTCAGAATGTTTGAATGTTTAAACACAGGTCCATGTTTACAGACAGATCCGACATGATTTGTTCACGCACCTTAACAGCACGTAGAAAGTCACTGTATTAACTATATTTATTCTGTAAAGCATATTCAGCAAGAACAATGCCGGTGTGACCTCGAACAAAAAACACATTAATATATTATATACATGCTGGTGGATTTTGATGGCTTAAAAAAATTGTTTTTTTTCTGTCCATCTGAAGTCTGTATTAAACAAATTTACATATGCAACATTAATGTTATTGTGTCTGTACATACTGATTTCGTTCATTACCCTTTATTCATTTAATTTAGTGAAGAGTGGAATTATCAGACGTTCAGTATGGTGGCAACTGTCTTATCACTACTACGCGAGATTTCATATAATTGTCATTGTCAACTTAGCATTTTTGGTTTAGTACCGTGTTATATTTATCATCCAATTAATGTCACTGTTAAGGAAGACCAAATCTCAGCAGCATGTCCGTACGTTAGTGGGGAATATGAGTTACCGTATTGCTCTACCAACATGTCGTACATATATCCACAAACTTAAATCTGTTTTCACACGGTAACATACCCCATTTGCTCTTATTAGCGCAGGCACTCGCATAATTTGACATATTTATGGTCAATATAAAGATCAATCATCTGACATACAATAAAAGCAATTTGTAGGTATGTGTCCTTCTATTCCAGATTGGCTTTTAATATAGTCAATCCGGTATATTATTATTTCATCTTCACATACATTACAGTACATTGCATACTATATGCATACTCTATGCGAAGTGATATAAGAATGATTTGTGCAATTCAATTCAATTCAATTGTCTTACCGTATTCGTTATATTAAATATGCATGTGCGCACCTAAGTGTCGCAACAGAAAATAAGCATTACAAGATGTGTGTAAGTGCATCTCCAGTAATCGCGTTTTAATTGTATGTTTCATCATTCAACTTTAACTTAGTTTGAGCATAGAAACACTTATATGTGATTGGTGTCCTTAAAACCCATGGGGAAAACGCTTTACGATCTTTTTATTTGGATTAGCGTGCAAATTGAGCTGTTGTCTAGTTATCGCTAATGCTGCCTGTGTTTCATAATAACGGTCATAGTAAGGGTATTTAGGGGCATATTAAATGTAGCGGAATTGATTAGGATATAATTATTGATGACAATGCCAACCATCAGTAACAATGATGGCAGACAAAGTGTCCTTATTTTGAGATTACGGGTAAAAGCAATACAATATTTGCCTGCTTTCTGCCAACGTTGATAGATTATGGCCATTATTTATAAGACATTTAATTTCTACTTAGTACATACATGTCTATAAACATGTCACCACTGCAACCACGATGTGGATGAAGTTTATAAATCATCGCCCGGTACAATATATGAACGTATTTTACAAACACGGTCAAAATTAGACAGATATCTATTTTCTCTTTTGTCACTTAGTAGTTTTCTCCACATTGTCTACTTAAATAACAAACATTTAATTTTTACATTCAGTGAATTTCTCGAATGCCTTTATCTTTGTCTACTGAGAATCAAAATCTCTTTTCTGCCCCACAAACTTCTCCATTCCTCTCATTCTTTCCCTTTTACATCGAATCATTATTCAACATATACAAGAAATTTCAAACGATATCCAAACGATATCCAAATTACAGTATGTGTATCACATACAAATAAAATTGAAAAAAGATGAAAAGTTAAAATATAAATCACCAACTATTTTATTGTGCGCTACAAACACCATTATATTCTCATCGCCGTTTCCAGATATACTCATGACTTAGTAAAATATTTTGTATTTTATAAGACGTAATGTTATAATTAGGTTCCAAGGGTAAATGCACACTGTAAATCATATGAAAACAGGCTTGACGCACATTGATAGAAAACAAATATCAAAACATAGTATTTAGCAGAGTTTGTAATATCTTCAGTCATATCAGTTACTATGATAGTATTGACCATATAACGTCATTGAAACTCAATAACCAAAACTATTTGCATTAAAACATTCCTTACAGTAGTTATAATATATCAGTATGTATGATAATAGTGATCTCTCTCACAGTAACAATGCCCGTTCAAAGTATTTACCATATTATTCCAAATGTCACTATTAAATATTGATATATATGCAACGTTTACCTGGTAGCAATACTTATAATATTGAGATGTGTACATACATTGAAACAGGATTCCTTACCAAACCAAAACAGGCGGTAAAAAAGGAATTATTCACTGATAAGACATGAACGTCTTCTAGCATTGAAATTGGTAATTGTGGTTACTCGTACGTGGCCACTTGCCCCATATCGATGTGAGTATACATATCAACATTGGTCGTATTTGCCTTCTTGACTTAAGTTTATTATTTGGTTCATTATCTAAGCGTCATTCTTTTTTTGATAGCTTTTCTTTTCAAAAAATTCTCTCAACTCTACAGCCATATCAATTTCTGTCATAATTTGCTGCACAATCGGTCTACCTAGGTATGCTATGCTGTTGTTTTCAACGACATACGCTCTATCGGGAGCAGCGGCGAATGTAGACGTGAATACATTGTCGATTGTGTCCAATACCAGTGGAATTTGAGTCTGGCTTCTAATATCTGCAGTGAATGTGTGATATTCTACATCAAGGTCAATAAGCATACTGTAATAATAATAATAAATAGAGTACAGTGAATACAACAATTCATTTCTGTTTGTTTAACATTTCTTAAAGGATGGTGGATTGTTTGTTGGCTGCAATTCTACCAATTTATGGAATTTAGCTTAATTATTTGCCAAAAATCTTATAGCACTATTTCTGTTGCACACTTCATCAAAAATGTTCACAATAAGTTAATCGAAAAAAAAACTTTCTAAGGTATTTGAGAACTTTCATTTACCGAACGTTTATTACTAGCCTTGGGGAAATCCTGTCTATGTAGCTCATAATCCATAGTTATATAAATATAACAATCAAATGATAAGCCATTGGCAAAAAATACTGTTTCACAGTATTCACTGTTTACAAATAAGCTTTAGTTCAACTAGATATTGTCCCCTTCTAAACATACCATCAGTATAGACAGATCCACTTACGTTGCAGCTTTGATCCTGTCTTCCAAGGTTTCATGTTGACATAGAACACTGTAATCGGGTCCTCTTTCTGCGCCTCCTTTAGGATGAGCCTCAAGTATGTAAACCATTACAAAGTCCACACTGTCTTTGTAGTCTTGGAATAGACTATACAAAAGACCACTGTGTACAATGGCCTGAAAATAAAAGTTACATTATTATTATTACATGTTTAGTCTGAATCCAGCCAGCTAACTTACTGTATAGCAATATTTCTGTATAGGAATATATGGATCAAGATCAGACAGTCGTGTTCAGAACACGAGCACAATGATATGGAATATTATTATATCTGAACGAAGCACCACAATTGACAAATTCTGTATGTTGGTGCAATATAAAGTGGATTGTTACAATAAATTACGCCACCTAAATAATTGTCATATTATATAGATGCAACTAAAATTTGTTAGAACTGGCGGCAAAGCCGCCTATTAGTTCTTCTAACTATGGAA